GTATCCTTCCTTTTCGTTTGTTTGTGCGTTAAACTCGAAACACGCAAATTTTCCAGTGTTCCACGGTCATTTTGGCTATCACTTTTTTTATCATACATGGCTTCTGTGAAATCCACTAATCCGCTTTTTTCTACATACCCTTTCTTCTTAGAGAACCTGTTAGAAGAAATCGGAGGCAGGTTTTCAAGAAGAAGGTAGTCTTCTATCCTACTAAGGGAGACGTAAGCTTCATAAGTTTTCAAGAAACCTTGGGCTAATTCAATACAGACACTTCGCTTGAGGACGTTAATGTAAGAAAGGATCAGGAAGACCACACTGGGCGTGAGAGGCTGACCGGTTAACATGAGAGAGATGACAGACAGCAGGGTCGCTATTGGGGCAGCAGTGTACTCCAGAGTAGCAATGCAAGACAGCACTGTAGTGTTCTTGCGTATGATGCCAATCTCTTGTCTGTAAGTAAAGTGTAAAGATGCTCCTTGTTAATAGAAATGATTTACGTTTGCTAGGGAAAATGGATATAAACCGGGCCTAAAGCGCGAACTTTTGATTGGAAAGCGGTATTAGATAGAAACGAGCTGACAGAGGAGCATTGCAGAAGATGTCTATCGGTAACAAAAAAACACTCAACGGTTGAGCCAAAGAAACCCTGCCTAATTTAGTGTTAAGTATTTTTGAATGTCTCGGCCGCACAAATTACGAAAAGAGGATATTCGATGGTTAGCCACCGAGGAAGGGTGTAATGTTGCTATCAGTGTGTTTCATCTACGAGTGAGGGTTGGTCAGTGTTGACAACTAACCCTTAGTGATATCTGTTCTGTTCCTATTGTGGGTAACACATGTGCTGTATTCTATTTCGAAACGAGAAAATTTTCCAAAAATCACGAATCACAATTTTTTTTAACTTTTTAGTTAAGATCAATATTCAGATTGCGTTGGAACGAAAAGATAAAGTTTGAAGCAGTTTTAACGATGATTTTACAATGATTCCCAATACCTCCTTTTGCTCCGTATTTTCTCGCGGTAACCATTCTCACACGCAAATGCTTTTATCGTGCGGATCCCGGAAACCACTTCAGTTATCAGGGAAAGTCGCTGATCAGTCTCCACTGAGGTTCGCTGGCGCATTAGAGCGTTCATACTGGAAAGCTCGGCGTAATATGGCACAAGAACACATAAGAAAATCACTCCCAAGACGGCCTGCCAGCCAATAAAGAAGGCAAGGATAAACGAAGCCAAGAAAATGTCCAGCCATACATAAGCTAAGGGGAAAAACCAAAAGGGCGCTTCTACCATCCTCTGAACATCGTTTGATATAAGGTCAATCACCCGACCAGTTGAAACGTTCACCAAGGCATCCTTGCTGAGAAGGAGAGTCTGAAATTAAAGAAATTACGAGCAAGCAATTATATGACAATCTCAGATCATGAAGAAGTAGAAAACTCTCTGGTAGTTAAAGTTGCGAGGAATGGTCCTCATCTTGGATTTTCCAGAGTAAGAGGGTTATAATTCGTCTTAGCTAAACGCTTACTTGTCGAAGCTTTCCTGTCTTATCTACGTGTCTCGTACAGTTGTTGCCTATTCTATTACATACCCTAGAAGTACGTGCATGATTCGGTGGGTATACAGATTTCCACCTCTGGTTCTTTTACATTCCTGTTACTTTTGATCACCCAAACAAACTCACTGTACAGTGGAAGACAAAATAGCTCCTCTCAGGTGCTTACCTTGATGTAAACGAGACCTTTGAGGGCGCTGCTGACTTTTATTCCAAACAGTTCGCTGCAATATGCCCTATGATGGAGTCCAAAGGAGCCTATCAAAGGACTAATGCCCATTGCTATGGCAACTCCGTACGTCATAAGAGTGTAATGGTGATTATCTGAGGTCAGTGCTGAGATTAGATATGCAAGAAGCAGAGGCTGAATCATACGGTTTATAAAATTTAAAGCTTCTGCAAAAATAATAGTAGCCACTTCCCGAATAATGATAGTTTTTATAATGCTTCTCCAAAGTCTCGGTCTTCTACCACTTTCTTGGCTCTTTGTAATTTCACTGTTCCATTTCTTTTGAAGCTTTTTAGTTGTTGAGAAGGAAGTGTGTTCCTCTAAAAGAGGTAGAAAGTCCTTCTCGTCTAAATTTCGCTTATTGCCCGTCTTGAGAACATCACTCATCTGATGGAAGAAGAGAAGAGACAAAAAGGACTCTCTGGATTCCTCAACTTCATTGGTAGAGAGTTTTTTATATCCTTGGCTTTCCATATTTTCAGACACTGGATGTGAGAAAAGCAAACAAACAAAACATCAATAAATGTTCCCAAGATAACCCAAGATTTCTTGTCATGCCGTGATCGGTTATCTTTTCCTGTCCCTGCTGATTGCAGAACAGATACGGAGCCATAATTCTCTTGGTAAACCATACCTTCCTTGCTAACGCCAGAATTTCCGTGTAAACAAAATCAATTTCCTTAATATTCATAATCATTACAAATTCCTCAATTGCTATTGGTGCTTCATTTTTCACTAATCATTCTTTACAGTTGTAATCGGACAATTGGCTGTAATCGGACACCTGTAATTGGACAGTTGAAGCAGCCAATCATACTAGGTCCACTCAGCTAACACAGAATTGATCACAATAACCATAGCAATAACCACTTATTCAATGAAAAACCAGGCAATTTCCAAAATGGAGGAATTTTTAATTGAAGTCATTGTCTCCACTGGAGATATTTGTTCTAGGTGTAATTGATTTTTCGGAAATTGAAATGGTTATGATTAACTGGTAACAGGATTTCTTGTCGTCCAATTCTGTCTATAATCATACTAGTGATAAACAAATCGGACTCCCGCTTCATGGTTGTCCGATTTTGTTAATCACTCTATGATTACAGACCGAATTGGACTCTACTCGGTCCTATTACCACTATGTATACAATCGGTTCTATGAAATAATTCCTGATTACAAGAAGCAAATAAAACGAGCGGCAGAATTTTGAAGAACCGATTTATTTTCAAACCCTATGATATTAATCTGAAAAAGATTTAGACTTTTTTTAGCTTTCCAGATTTTTTACATCCATTTTGAAATCACTGGTGATCTTTGCAGTCTGATTGGCTCTCATCAGAGCGATTTATTCTCGAATCCCACCATTTTTTGCTCTAAATTACATTAATTTCCCAGTCAATGAGAAAGCTTAAACAAAACACAATAAATAAACCGATTTAAAGGCTTGTTAAGAGTAACCAACCAAATTGCAAAAAATCGCAGAGAGATAAATTTTGCAAATTTCTACAAACCAGCTCACTACTGGATCAGTAAAAGTTTTATACAGACCAAAAAAACCTGTATTTCAGAGACTGTATTTTTCTATTTCACAGTCGATGTAATAGAGTGTTAATAGAACTGAGTGAGGTGCGATTTTGGTCTAAAAGCATATTTGTGATTTCAAGTCACGCCTATGATCTCAGACCTAATGAGATACATGAAAAAAATTACTCAGTTCTGATTGGTTAGGATAAATGCAGTTTTTAGGTAATTCAACGCAGAAGAGGGTTGGTTCAATGCAAAGAAGTAACAAACCAGACTGAACAATCCCTTTAACTGTTTAGCCGGACATTGAACTTTTTTGCTCCCTAAAGATGTGAAAATATCATCATAGAATTATTGTTTCGATCGTACGCGGTTGTTTTGACCGAACGCACAATGTCACTTGCAGCGGTTTCAATAAATTATCTCGTATTTTTTCATGCATATTATTCCTACATAATCACATGATTTCGAGTGCAATTTGGAATAAATAAGCAAGAGTAAATTTTTTCAAATGTAGTAAAGTTAGCTCAAACTGTTCGAAAAAGAATAAAAGCTTTGCCTGTTAATTGTCCCAATTCAAATGCCTTTTTACTTCAATCTCAAATATGTAATCGAGCCAATTTCTTAGCTCATTTCTACTCCAAATGATTTTACAATTAATGGCGATCACGTTCATTCAAGGCCTTTCAGCTGGATCCTAAAGTATTTTCCCGAAGGAAAAATGAAATCTAAATCAATATATCTGCAAGATCAGCTAGAGTACTTCATTAATCATAACCATTACAACTTTCTCAAACGTGATTGGTGCATCAGACGCTTAAATTTTCACTAATTATTCTGTAGAGTTGTAACCTAACAGAGTAATCAGCCAGCTGACTATGTTCAGCCAATCATATTAAATTCACTCAGCTCAATCTGCCAATCAAAGAAGTGATAACAATAACCACTTGAGATGCCCATTTCAGTGGGAGTGAAGGCACACCTTTGTTTACAAATGCCACATATATCAATCTTAAAGCATTATTATCTGGCTATACCTAAATAAAGAGGCCTACTAATCATACCTCGTCACTCATTCAATGAAACAATCTTTGTCTTTATGTTTCTGTGACAAAATTGATATTACCACAATTTGCGTCATGCCGGTTGTTACAAATTGCGTAAACCGACTATTCTTACAAAATGCCGCGACAATTACTGAGCTCGCCTTTGATACAAAATGCTGCAATAACACTTCAAAAGGCGCGATTTAATACAAAATGCCGCAAACTTTGTTACAAAATGCGTAGGTTATTACAAAATGTATCGTTATTACAAAATGTCTCAGAACAGAACGATCTTTTGAAACGCCATAGAGAGCAAATAAGCGTCACAATCGGACGGTGACTTTTTTACGCTTGAATGCTTTCCTGCAGAAATTTACATATACGACCCTTACTCTGACAGATCATTTTTAAAATTTAAATCGCTCTACGCCATTTGGTTTGAATACACTCCTTCCGTCTAAACGTAGTAAACATTGAAAGTAATGACCTGATCCTTTACTTTTTATGGAGTGACTTTTTATGTTAAATTGGTTAGATATGGTTGGTTGATTCATACGAATATAGCACCTTACCGGCTACGAGGACTCATTCACCATGACATATCCCGCCAATGTTCGCGAATTGTAAATGCGTTTAGATCGGTACAATTTTCAGCTGAATGTACGTCTTAGAAATTTTCCGGCATTCTTTTGCCCATCTAAAAGATACTCTGCTATCTATATTGTCATAATAATTAAACTGAAGACTATGTATTATTTATTGGGGTTAAATAAAGATGCAATTTATTTTATGGCGTTTAGCATTTTATACGGCGGCATTGTTGAGTTATGTTTCAACGTCTAACCGAATAATGTTCGGCTCTTTTCAATTATGTTCGGAAGTTTAGACTGACAATCTAAATATGGTTGGTCTAATAACGCTTCATACCAATGTACCTTTACAAACGCCAGTTGAATTAAGTAACCACAGAGCAGAAATCTACGCCCTTTAGATGCATTTTAAAAACGCTCTTTAAAGATCTTGGATATTTTCATAAATTCGCGGCAACGTGATGATAGAAAACTTGTTCAATAGAACAGTGAACTAAATGACGCTGACAGCACTCCATAAATTTATTGTTACAAGGTGACAAAAAGGATTATATAATTCTGAAATTAAGCACCTACGAAACACGTGATTGTTTGACGAAAAAGTCTGATCTACGGATGTTTAGATTTTTACAAGTATCATAGAATCTTACCTCCAGGAACAGCGTCTTGTAACAGATATTTAGACCAAAACTACAGATAGCCTTTATTTGTTTGCCATTTTCACATTCAATACCATCAACACTCCACGCTGAAGTTCATCTATTTTGTTTATGCAAAGTAGACGTCCTAAATACAATGGATTTTAAAAAAACTCTAAAGTTCCCTTAGGGACCTCATTAAAGAACAATTGAATCAGCGGTGGTTAGGATCCTGATAAACACAAAATTTAACAAAAAAAACTCCAGCGCCATCACTTCTGCCAATTTCTTTTCGTTTCTAATGTGAGATAAACGGGAGAAGCGGATGACTGCATTGAGTGAGATTTAAAGGGAAAACTTTTCCATCTATTTGAAAAACCATAGAAACAAAGCCCAGCTGCAGGTCCCAGCCGTACTCTGTTGTAGGATGAAAATTTTATTTTTCCTAAGCCCTCGAACATTCAAATACTTTGCTAAGAGTATTTCACGCACGGCTTGGAGGCTTGAACGACCGAAATCAATGAAAAAATACGTAACCTCAGACATGGTATTCGATTCTTAATCAAAGATTATGGGTAAATCGACACTATATTTGATTATCTGTGGATATTTTGTATTCCTAAATTCAGTCTTCAAGCAACTGGTCACCAAGAAAAAAATGATGAATTTACAAAAAGCTTAAGAAATTATAGAATTCGGGTTCATTGAAGTCGTCAGTGCGTCTATGATCCTGAGGGCAAGAACTAACTCGATTGGCCATCATGGTTCAAAAGATTTCAATAAGCACTCGTGGTTTCCGAAAAGTCTGATGAGTTTAAGACTATCGTTCATGGATGCGCAAACCAAAATTCGTCCTAGATGAACGCAATCCTTGAATCAACATTGCTAAAAACTAAGCCTTGTTATAAGATAAAAATATACTATGCACCTATTGTTTAGACGACTGACTTCAAGCGTCATCTCTCTTCCGGCCGCACTTCAATCTGTTGACACAAACGTCGTATTTAAAACTTGAATTCGGCTTACAATAGCTCCACCATCAATTTTGAACGCTGAATTTTATTTCTCTTTAGAAATGACTTAAAATTTCAAATATTAAGAACTATTTTGATGCTATAGAAAACAGAGGAGGGAAGGAGTTCGAGCGCAAGAACGCCAAGTTAATAACAAGTGAATTCGACCGTATCAAATATCTTTTATGATAAAGGAATTTTTTTGTCTCACTAATTCAGCTTTGCTTTGCTTTGCTCTCAGTTTTTTTTTTGCATCTTTTTTAATTTTTTTCTTCAGGTTTTGTTTTGTCTTGTTCATTAGGATGTTCATTTTATCTTCGTTTTGGGTCTTTCATTGAAAACGAGTTACTGCTATCGAACGTAAGGGACGCTGCTTAAGTCATTCACGTTCGCTGGCTTTGTGCCTTCTTTAGCTGCTTGTGATGTTGTCCTTTGCGCTGACTGACAACTGTGATTCTTTTCTTTTGATTTTACACAAATCAATGGAAATGTGTTCTAACAAATGACAAAGTCTAAAGTTCGTTGAAATCACTGGATTGAAAGATTGTTTATCCTACAAGCCTCCTCCCCCTACCCCTGGCGATATATTAATATTGCCCGGTTTCAAGCCGAGAGGGTTGAAAATTTCGCGCGTAGGTAAATTTTTTTGCATGATAGACTGT